TTTCTAAAGCTTACTGAAGTTTGTTCATAAATAAATGGAGTGGCATTTAACTTGATTAATTCCCTCCACCAAGGAAGGCTTATGCCATTTAACTTGTTACTTATTTTATGCTGCCTTATCTTCAGGTTTTATCTTCAGAATTACAAACATATTTCCAAATTAAAAAAAAAAAAAGAAAAAAAAAAAAGATGAAACTGAGTTTCTGTCAACTTAAAAAAACTAAACCCAAAAAAAACCCCAAACAAATTACAAAACCTCCCCAGCCCAGGAAAACCATAAAACACATAATTTGGATGAGAAAAAGTCTATACTCTGTCACCATACCCACAAGAAACAGAAAGCATTCACACATTGACTACCCCAGAGCATGAGCCCCAGATAGCCCAAATTCAATCACTTAAGTAAGGCCTGGTTCTTCAGGCAGCTTAGTGCTCCTGCTTATTGGTGATAATTGAGCAAGTACTGCAGCAGAATGGAGGATACCTTTATTTATAATTTATATTACATATAAAATTCTCATGATTTTTTATTGTTGCCATAGAAGAGAGGCTGTTTTTAAAAGTCTGAAAAGTTAGAAAATGGAGAGTTTGTGATAAAGAAAGTCTTATCAAAGGTGATCTTCATTCTGATATTAAAGCAGTAGGTGAGACTCGCCTGTGTGCCTTCATCATAATTACAATTAGAGTAATTGTTCTCAATTTGCATTCAGATTAGAGGCTGCCTTACTTTTGACATGTATATTACTGCAATGAAGGATACTGCCTCCCTTCCTCCTTTGAAGTCTGATCCTGTTTGAGTCACTTAAAATATCTTCTGCAAATTCTGAAGCACAGCTTGCAAAGAAAACCCTGTGATGAGGTGGCATCCATTTGTATCACAGTGAACTTTAATTCTACATTAAACTACCAGATTGTAGACATTTCTTGTCTGTACATAATGGCTGCAATTTAAATTGTGTTTTCAACAAAGTACTGTTTTTTTCATTATATTTTCCATTTTAAAAATTAATTTTTTTCATTATATTTTCCATTTTAAAAATTAATTTTTTTCAGATATCAGAAAGCAGGGGACTGGTAGGCAGAAAGAATTCTTTGCCAAAAATCTGGCTTGAATTTTTAGATGCCAGTTCCTTATGATGGTGTGTTTGCTATGTGGACAAAGCCTTTACTGCCTAATCTGCAACCCTGCACAGTAACCCTGTCACCCTTAGTAACAACTGAGTACTGACAGTATCGATAATCAGTATCAACAATCTCAATAATTGGTACTGCCAGCAACCTAGAATTTTCAAAAAACACAATCCTAAAGCACTATAGCACCAATTTTTGTTTCATATACAGCTCTGATCGTATAATGCAACATTAAACATTTGACAAATGGCAGAATAGAGATTATATGCTTAATCTTGCAAATTGTCTTCAAGGAGGTAGCAGGAGATATTTGGATTTACAGCCACTCAGCAGGATGCAGACAGTGCAGAGAAGGCAGCTGCAGAGTATGCAGATTGCATAAACTGTAATTTTGAATCCAGACAAGACCTCTGTTTAGTTCAATCCTTAAAAGAGAGCAAGCAAAAGATAAATGTTTAAAGGAGACAATAAAATTCTGCTTTGTAGTCTTGTACTAGCACTCAGTATATTACTTTGGCTCTTAGAAGCATGCACATTTTGCACTGTTTTCTAAAAATTTTATTATTATCTGACTGTTACCACAGAATGGAGAACTAATTCCCCAATGCTTGTGTTGCATAACATCTATTTCAGCACATCCTTTTGATAGTGATCCACAGTTTAGTAACACATTATTTCCTGGCCATGCAAAATTATTTCCTGGTAACCTTGCAAGACTTATTTCTACAGTAATTCTAAATTGTGCCTCCTATTAACTAATGTTTATTTTCATGCTTTTACGATTAAAAATGTCATACCCATAAAAAAAAAATAATTTTCTGAAGTCTAATAAGGTCTTGATGATTCAGCTTCAGATATTGAAAGCTGCTAAGCACCGTCCCTGAAGTCAACTTCCACCTTAAGAGGTTTTAAGTCCATTTTGCTTGTTTCCTTCCTTTTTCACAGTTCTTCTGATATACGCATCAGTTACCTTTGCACAATCTGAGTGGATTTTATAAAAAGCAAACCTCCAACGTATGCTGGATCACATACATCCTTTGGTTATTTTACTGTTTCAGTTTTTAAAAGAAATAAATGAATGCCAAAGACTGGGCTTTGAGAACACAGGATTTGGTTGTTACTGAAAACGAGCTGTAAAAGTACAAATTACAATCCACATTTTTATTCAGCCAACAATCAGCATATATCAGTATTCAGAGTTTCATTTACTTTCCTTTTGCCATGAAATTTTTTAGCAAAGATCTTCCTGAATTAGCTGAATAAAAAAGCAATTTCCCTGTATCAGAGATTTTATTAAATATAAGTTTTTTTATAAGCCAGAGTATGGTGCAACATATGAATTCTCGTTCCAAAACAACTGTCACATTTGCCAAGTAACTACCATGTGAGAATAAGTCAAAGTTTCTCTGTAGAAGTGAGAGAAGAGAAAAATACACTGCAGATGAATAAATGGGGTAGATTAGTCTTGGTATGTAAAATTTAAATACTTTTCCTGAAATTCCTAATTACTGGCCAGACAATGTTTCCAAATGCAAGCTAATAGTTGGTTTTGTTTTTTTTTTAATATACCAAATATTCTAATTTACCATTGTTATCACTAACCTTATAATTTCTGAAATCTCTCACTATTTCAATGATCTAACCAAATGCAGCTGTAGTTCTCAGTAAATAATCTAATCTGGTAATCTAATCTAATCATATTATAATGCTAAAGCAAGCACTGGAGCATGGAAACCCTTAGAGGGCTGTTTAGTTGCTTGACCAGTTCCTCTAAATTCTGCTTCTTTTTTGCCTTCCTTCTGCCATCCTTCCTCTTGCCTTTGCTTTTCTCTTTACTCTTCCATTCTCACACTGTTTCATTTATGGTTTCTGTACTTCATACCATGAGTAAAGGAAAAACCAGCTCCCTCAGCAGCAGTTTAATAATTGTTTTCTTTCAATTCAGCATTAAGTAAGTGTGGGATATAAGATGACAAGAGCTAAGATGAAACCCTGCAAAGATGTTCATCATGTCTTCTGACTGCTCACCAAAGTTAACTTGGTGGAAAAAACAGTCCAGTCCTTTACAAGACTAAACACCAAGTCACTCAAAAAAATTGTCTCCATCTGAACCTCCACAGTTTCCATTTAGTAAGAGCTGACAAAGCTGCAGCTAGGTCCTAGATGGGACTGCCCTAGCAGATCCATTTGTGCCCGATCCCAGTGTTTAGTCATATATTTCCACCAACCAATCCATGTTGATTCCAGGTAGATAAAATCTGTTTTACCAAAAGGTGCTGCATACCCAACCAGTAAATAAAGTTAATATAAAATTCTCTTTTCACCCATTCCAGGGAGAGCTAACTGGAACTATAAACCAGTCCTTCCATATTTTTAGGCAGTTGACACTCCTCTCTCCTCTGCCTCTCCCTCTCTTTTCCTCCCCTTCTCTCTCCTGTCCTTTCCCTCACCCTCCCCCACTACCAAGAGATAAAGTCTCTTCAGTCCTAACTGGTTCAGATAAAACAGCTTTCAAGTGCTAGCCAGTTTTTTTCCTATTAAAAGCTGAAGATCATCTACCATTCCTAAACAGCTTTATCTGAATTGGATTCTCTGTCTGAATCCCATCCTCTGTGCATTTTAGCAGGCTGGCAGATTAACAGTCATGGGGGGCTTCAGTCTCTCCTCATAGCACATTGCATTGTGAGTACACCTGAATACACAGCAAAGGGCCTAATGAAACAGTCTTGTTCCCAGTCTTTTGTTCATTAGTTGTATTTACTGGGAGTCTTTATGAAAGAAAATTTTATTCTGAAGGTTACTGTACAGGTATTTGGAAAACATGGATGGAAGCATGAACATGTCTAGTGCTGGAAAATCAACATACAGGGCATTTACTCTGCATAAACTCTTACAGCCCTGTCAGGATGGTGAGCTAAGATGACGAAAAGGCTTTTTTGCAGTGACCTTTTTGTATCGATACAAACCTCTTACATAACTCACCCTCTGCATAAACTGAAAGGAAGGAAGAAGCAAGAAGTACGCCATCACAAAGTTATTCTTTCAGAGAATGCCACCTTGCTAGAGTTCATTTCGCAGTACCAGAATACAGTTATTTACCAAGCAATAAAGAGAAAAGCATATAAAGCACATCTCTAAATATATATAGACATATGAGTGGGCTTATTAGGTAAGCACACACACATATAGAAAAAAGTGTAAACAATTTCACTTAGCCCTAATCAAAAACCTGAGGAGCTTGCCAGAAATTGTGCTCCCCAGTCGCTGTTGCACAAGGTGGGAGATTTAGAAAAAGGGATGCAAAAGAGTCGCAGCTCCCATACAGTATAACCCAGCTGTCCTGGAGGCAGTGACCCTCGAAGCTGGGCTCTCCAGACGATCACCAGCCAAAGGCCAGGAGCAGACAGCTCTGCCCGAGGCAATCTTCCCCGTGCAAGCCCTCACGGAGCCGTTTGCCGCCGAGCGTTACTCCTGCCCAGGTGGTCCTGCGGCCACCGCCCCTCTGGGACAGAAACAAGTCCCGATCCTGTGTCTCTACCTGCCCCGCCAGCGTCCCGCCGCCCCGGGGGTCTCCGAGGCGCCTCAGGCGCCAGGGCCTCGGTCCAATTAGCCCCCGGTCGGAGCCCCCGCCCTTCCTCCGCCACTTAAAGAGCGGCGGGGCCGCCGCGGAGCATGTTCTCACGCGAAGAGCAGCGGTTGTGGCAGCGGTTGTAGCAGCAGCGCCTTCCTGGCGGTTTTTTTTTTTTTTTTTTGGCCTGGTTTTTTTTTGTCCCAGTGAATTTGGGGCAGCTTTGTTTTGCATTTGACCCCCGTCATTGCTGTAGTAGCCGGCTCTCCTACAGAGCCGCTCTGGCCTGCTTGAGTCTTCCTCAGGTGGTGTAGCCCGCGGGGTGCGGCTCCGGGCCGAGCCAGGGGAGCGCGGCGGGGGCACCATGCCTGCCACCGTCTCCGGGCGCTGCCTGGTGCGCCTGCTGCTGCTGCGCCTGCTGCTGCTGCTGCTGCTGCTCTGCACCAGCCTCTCAGGCGGGAACCCTGCAGGTAAATGTAAACTCTCCCCGGGCCGGGTCCCCTCCGCCCTCCGTGTCGGCAGGGCCGGAGCACCGCCTGGGAGCAAAGGTCCTCCTTGCTCCGCAGCATCCCCCCGGCTCTCAGGGGACGTAGCGCTGCCTGGGCACGGCAGCTGCCTCTCGGCCTTGCCTGTGGGAGCGGCTGAGGCGTTTCTTTTTCTTAGCGACCCCGACCCTTCCTGGCGCCCCTGTCTCCCTCAGGAGATGGGGGTTCTTTCTCCTGGGCCAGCGGGGATCGCGCTCGCTGTCCCCCAGCACCGAAGCGGTAGGCGGCCGCAGATGGGCAGAGCCGTATCGGCGATCAGCCGTCCCGTAGCCTCAGCACCCTCTCCCTCAGTTACAGAAGGGTTTATTGGCTCACAGGTGCAGGATTGGGAAGGTGTGGTGTTGTGTCTTGTTTCTGTCGCGTTCTTACTGAGTAAAGCGTTTAAATGAAAAAAAAAAAACGCTAAACAACCAACCCACCCCCGGACAGATCGATACACTACATTACTAAGGTGTCAGTGTGCCTCGTGGATTATGAGGGGTGCTCCTTGCGATTTGTTCTTGAGTTTTTAAATATAGCATTTAAAATCCATGAAGGAAGAGGAGCTTGAGCTTTCTGGGCCCCGTTCCTACTCGAGAGGCTTTCAGCAGTTCAGGAGCAGGCCAGTTCTTTCTCAGGAAATACGATCTTATGCCTAAAACTAGTGGATTTCTGTCATTTTTTTCTTATGTTTGAGGCATTGCAGATTAGTAGAAAATGATTATAGCCGTAATTACCAGATTGCTGGTGTTTGCAATTTCCAGGGTGAGATTCTTGGAGTAGGGCTTGGCGTGGCCAAGAGTTCTGTCCTGTGTACGTGAGCATATACATACTTGTATGTCAACGTCTATGCTGTGACCTGAATTCATTGTGGTTTAGCTGCATTTTCAGTGTGTGAAATACAAGCAGTTATGTTTTTTTCTGCCTCTGGTGCACTTCCTAGTACTGAGAAGACCGGTAGTGCTCCCTAGGTGATGTTACGTTTTCTAAAATTTCTAGTAGTTTCACATAACGTGAAAGGAAACACACTTTGTACTTCTCAAGTCTTGTTTGAAATGAGTATTTAAGTATGTACATAGACAAAATCTACTTTGTAGTTCTTAAGTGTTCTTTAAAATACATGTGTATGTACACACAGAACTTGACATCATTTCTATCAGTTTACTTAATTGAGGAGTTTTTTGAGTGTAAATGGTCTGATATTTGTAGGAATGTGTGAGTTAGCATGTTTTGCCATAAGATAGTTAGTTTTGATAGCTGTTGATGCCCAAACCCATACCTGATGGTGGTTGAAGCAGTTTTAAGTTTATGTAAAGCCATTGGTGAAATGAAATGATAGCCTCTCACGGGAAGAAACCAAATAAACAAGTGAATCAAACAGCAAAACCTTCTTTGTGTTTCCAAAAACTGCGCAAATCTACCGTCTTCCTAAAGTGGGGGGTATTGTGGTTTAGAGCAGACTTCAGAAATGAGCCACTAGCTTTAGGACTTCTCATCTGTATAGGGTGAAGGTGTTGTTTTCCAGACTTCTATTAAATGTTTTTACAGCTGTATGAACTAGATAGGGAGGCATCATACTCTGACTTCTTTGATGATTTAAGTGAAAAAATGGTAGTTTACTCTTTGGTTATTAACTAAATGTGTATAAAGCTAGTTGAGCACAGGAGCTCTCTACACAGCTGCAGCAAAGGGAAGTTCATGACGCATGAAGGAAGAAGAACTTAAAATTGTTTTCCAGTGAAGTCCAGAAATTGTGTTTGTTTTGGAGATGTGAGGGTGCTTCATCCAAAAGAAATGCTTACAGTAAAAGTAAGCAGAGGGAGCACTTGCACAGACAGACTGAGTTGCAGAAAGGTGAATTGCATGGTCTGCAAGCTGGTCAGGCAGATGCCCTGAAAGCCCTATTAGATTTTTATTTTGAGATAATATGTTGAAGATGATCTTTATTTTGTTATTCTTATCTTAGTCATGTAGCTGTTTAGTTACTTGTTTTGGAAAAATCTAAACTATTGCTTTTATTTTGCATTGATTTAAGGGTATTTTCTAACCAAGTGTCAGAACACTTGTTCAGAGCTTGCTGCATTGTGTGGGTTACGTTTGTGGTTGTTTTAGTGTAGTTGTAGCAAGTGCTGTCAGATTGATTTAGGACAAACAGTCCCACTACTCACTTTCATCTCTCAGTTTCTGCTCCTGAAGAATTCAAGGAGCTATGAGTATAGAACACACCTCATTCCTTACGGACTTTGCTTCCAAGTTGGGTTTTTCTGGTTTGGCCCGAGGGAGCAGCTTTTATCAGGGTATTTGGGAGGCCTTAATGTTGATTCTCTGATGTCTCTGGGGCATGAGGAGGGTTCTGGTGGATGGTTTTGGATGCTACTGAATGCATGTGATCTTAAAAAGTATATTATTGATATTAAATTAAACAGTAAAATAAAGATGTTAAATTAAACCAAATTGTACTTCAGTCATTTCTTACTCAGCTACTTTTCTGGCTGGAAGAGAGCAAGTAGATTAAGCCTGAAATTACTCTGGCCATAGTAAGCATGGTACATCAGTACTTTTTTGCCTCAAAATACCAACTGCCATATGAAGCAGAAGTAGTGTACAAAACTAAATTCATTATATCATACTCTTTCCTATTCCTTGCTGCATGAAAATCAAGGAAAAGAGACCTCTACAAGCTACCACACTATTGGTTAAATCTAGTGCAAAACTACTATAGGTTAAGGCATGCAGCCATGATTCAGTAGTTTGAGAAGTTACTCCACAGGACTTGCTTACATCATTGCCTGGCTGGCTGACACTAAAGGTGCAGTGTTGGCCCATGCTGATCTTCAGTGCTATTCAGTAAGTACATATGAGAGGAAGAGAGTGGGGCAATGTTAACTCTGTTCTGTGTAGTTTGATGTGTGGACAGGTAAGGTGAAAAGATACATAAGCAGGGGTGACAAAAATAACACTACTTGACTTCTTTCACTTTCTACGTCAATTAAGGAAGAAAGCCAAGATGAGAACCCTGTTAGTATGCAAACCACATTGCAGGTTATCTGCCTTCATTGCAGAGAGATAACAGAGCTGCTGTACAGCTTGGCACTGGCACCTTCTAAATTTATCATCTTCAGGGATTTTAATTAATGTGGAGGTGATCCATGACTTAGAACGTCTCAAGATGCTGCAGATAAAAAAATTCATGGAGATCTTTCTTCAGTTGTACTATGAATATCAGAAAAATAATAGCTGTCTCTGCTCAGTACCTCTGTCAGGCAAAGAATAAGACTCAGTCTTTTTAGCATCTGGCTCATAAGCCAGCACATCATCAGAACAGACCTTTAAAGTTCTTCTCTTAACTGAAGGGCTGGGAAGGAGAATCTGGTTGTGGGACCAGTGGACTGATAAAAAAGTGGGTTGCTGTTAAGAACCACTAATGTTTAATTCTTATAATATCTTTTGACTACTGTGTTTTACTCGTAGTCCAAAGTGGTTGACGTATGAAGTATGGGCAGATTGAGACAGCAAATGGTGTAAACCAGCCATGGCTGTGATGGAGTAACTGTGTGCTGGAGGTGCCAGTGGAGAATCTATGGGTTGGTCTATGCCTGTTGGTGCTGAAATGGGGTAGGAGTGTTAGTAATGTTAATTTGTAGGAAATGGCACAGTGCTGACTTCACCTTCTGCAGAAGGCATGTGGTTCTCAAGTTTGAATGCACTTAAAATGTGAGGCAGCTTTTCACTGTTCACTTAAGAGTTCACTTAAGACTGGAGCCTTGCCTTCCAATTCAGAATGTTCTGTGATCTGTGCGTGTTTGTTGCTATCTTGGATATCCAGAAGAGTTAATGATTCCAATTCCATCCCCCTGCCAAAGGCTTTAATTACAAATGCAAGATACATGTCTTTTCCTTGTGTGGCTGAATCACTCTTTCTGAGTGCTATGGCACTAAAATATGTCTTGGAATACCTTTGTCAGTGAAGATAGTACAAAATAAATACTAGCTCTCTCACCCAAAGGTGGGAATAAAGGAATGAGGACATGCTTCCATTCTTCTAAAACATCTAGATATCTTGATTTTCTTAAAAGAGTGACATGACTACTAACCAAGTAGTCCTTTGCCTTTTGCGTTGCTGTTCTTTTTCCAGTCAAGAACACAAAGCAGACTAGAGTCTTAAATGGTTCTTGTAAAAACTGTATTATAGGAGTAGGATCAGATTTGCAGTGGTACTGAGGAAAATTGGAAATAATTGTTAGTATGGGATGCTGAAATTACTGTTTGATACAGGTGTCTTTTTTCTTGTTTACTGTGGTGCTAGTGGAACCAAAGGAGGTATGTTCATTGCTTGTTCATCACACTAGATTTCTAAAGTTGTAATGAAGTCTGTACTCTATTGGAAAATCTGCTAATCTATATTAAAAGTAATTGACCAATGTCAGTGGCATAAGTGGTGTTTTAAGCCTATGAACAAAAAGGATGTGAGTACAGCTTAAAAAGTTGCTGGAACATTCTGAGGAGTGGCTTTGCCAGCTGGTAAGCTAACTGCAAGAAAATAGCTCTGTACAGCAATTAGAGATCAAATAAATATTGCCTCAGTTCTTTAATCTTCTCTTGCCTAAAGTGAGCTAACAAAAAACAATTCTTGTGAATTTTTTCATGTGTATGCTCAGAACTTGGGGGAAAAAAGGCTGAGGTGAGGACATTCTGTTGGGATTATTTTCCTGAAGTAGCTTTTTCTAACTCAAAGTTTCTTTAAACTTTTTCTGATGTTTTGTTCTGTTTCTTTTAGATCCAGCTATGACAACACAAGATTCTAATCAGACTCAGGTGAATTCTGTGACTAAGATGTCCGTGACTGGACATGAATCATCTGGTAATTGTCTTATTTCAGTACACTTAAAACTATAGTCCTTTTTCCTGTTGATACTTGTTTGTCATACAGAGTCAAAATTTTCACACTTAAGTCTCTTGAAATAAGATTGTGACTTTTTGGAAGAAGCAGAAGTAGATACAGCACAGGTCTTTTAAAGCCACCGCAAGAGCTTGAGTGTCGTAAGTATCTCCAGAACTGGAAAAAGCTATGCAACTACCAGTTTTGTGACCTGTTCCCCTTAGGAATATATGCCTTAAGAGCAGGCAATGACCCTGGAGGTCAGGCAGTGCCCAGCTCGTGCCACTGCAGGGAGGTTGTGTTATAGCCTTAAGTTTTTAATATGGGAGCTCCTTATGCCTGTGTATTAGTGAAAGGTATAAAAAATACCCTTGCATCACTGTGCCTGCTAGCTTCGTCTTTCTTAATTATGGCTGTGTCAAAACTGTCTGTTGTCCCTTATACATTAATTGTATTCTTAACAGGCAGCTGAGAATAAGTTCCGGGCAGGACAGGAAACCAATGATTATTGGTTCTACTTCTTTCTCCATAAAGATCAGAGAATCAGAATTTCAGCACTGTCCCAAAGCTCATGTTGATTAGTGCAAGTCAAACATGAGCTAAATTATATTTCTATGTGAACTCAATCAATTTCTGGCAAGTTATTTCACCTACAGGTTGGGTTTATTTATGAAATAATGGTATTTATCTGGTGTTCATCTTCTGAGGTTTTTAGCACAATGTGAGAACTAGGAGTGCAACAGCTAATAGATTCAATAACTCTCTATGTACATAAACACACATATACATACATAAAATATAGAAAATGTTTCATATTGTATGACCTCATCTGAATATTTTCATTTGATATGTGAATTGAGGAGGAAAGTCATTGTGGAAATCCTGTTTGTTGCAAGACACTTTAAAGGCTGTCTAGTTTTTTTCTGGCTGGATCTACCATATGAACTAGCACTGGTGACTTCTGAATGTATCATTGCGAGGGATTTCTGTGAAAATGATGTGTGTACTGGACTGACATAAACTCGGCTGATCTGTGACAACCCTGGCAAGCTGTCTGAGTGTTTCTGCACATAGGCAGGCTAAGATCTGCCAGAACTTTTCAGCCTTGATGTTATTTCCTGGGTAAACACTTGGACTAGTTTACTTCTCCATGGGGCAGAGATCAAGGCTTGTTTTGTTCATGTCTAGAGCCAGCAGGACTATTGTCTACTGCTAAAGACAGCTTTGATTTCTCTGCTTAAAAGGCCATTTTGTACTATTAGTTAAGATTGACAACAACCTACTGTTAACAACACCAAATGAAATAGCCTGAAGTTCTGTTCTTCCATACAAAACACCTTAATATACAGGTTTATTTTTACTTAAACTGATGGAAGCTTGAGGGAAAGTATGAAAATGCAGGTGGAACGAGCCAGGAGAAGGGTGATTGCCAGTGGCACAGAATTCCTTGTGCTGTGAACTTGAGAGGAAGTTTTCTGAAACTGGCCAACAACTTGAAAAGGCAGGTGTACCTCTGCTTATACCTTTAGATGCAAATCACTAGCAGGGGCCTCCTTCAGCACAGCCAGATCCTCTCAGCTGTAGCTCAGAGGCATGCATTTAAGATCTTTACCTGAGAGTTCAGTATTTTATGCAAGGGAAGAAAAGGATTCATTCTGATGAGAAGTAGGCTTTTAGAGATGCTTTTTCAACTTTATAGTGGTCAATTTTGCCACCCAATGCATCTCTCAGTGGGAAGGCTAAAAGTGTAGCCCAGTTCCTCTATCTTCTCAGTTGTGATTAGGAATCTTTTCAATCCATGAACAGCAGATGTAATCAAGCCCCTTTCCTTCTATGAAAACCAGAATAATTTTCTCTTACAATGCTGTGTGACTAGGCAGAATCAGTCTCTAACTACTGTTCATATATTTCTGCAATGCATTAGGAAATATTTGACAACAAAAATACTTTCCAAGCATGTAAAAGCATGTGTGGCATAAAGCATTTAATGTATCTTTGGGGTGGTTGTGAAATCTATTTCTTTCTTTTCATCACCTTATTTAAAAGAAGATTATTGTAGCTGGGCTACATCTGTTAGAGCTGCAGCTTATTAATTTGCTTTCTTTCTGTGTTCTTGAAATGCATGAGAGCAAGTGATGGGAACAGACTGTGCTTAGAGTTGCTTTATCAAGCCTTGTAGATCTTTATAAAAGATCTCATACTCTCTGAAGGGTGTGTGATCCACAGCCTCATCAAAAAGGAAGTTTGGTGACCGTACACCTTGTATATGTAGGTTTTCCTAACAAAAGGAGAAGAATATCATTAGGTCAGCCATATGATGGTTAATTTTGGTATTCTTTCTTTGTAGAAGGGCATTGCCTTCTATATGAGAAGTTTTGAGAAGCAGTGACAGTCTTTGACCATTTTGTAGTTGACCACAAGGTGTTCTTGCCTCTGAATTTATTAATTAGCACTTAGATTAGATGGTCTACCTCTAACTTCCTGTCTGTGTTGTTAGATTGTAGAAGCTTTGGGAATGGCAGCATTCTGTTCTTCTGGGCTTTTTTTGTTGAGTGAGTTGTGTTGGTTGGTTGGCTTGGGTTTTTAAAATTTTTCTAAAGCTTATTACTTTTTCAAGAACTGTTCAAACGTTGATGTAGTCCTGTATGTAAGCTATAGGTGACTTTTTGAGTCAAGCTTTTGAGTAAAACAGCGATGACATTTTAGATACTGACATTCACAACTGCAACATTATAATAAAGCTAGAAACCTTTATCTAACAGCATAATTGCTATAACAGCAACCCCACAGCCCTGGCTGCTAAGACAGGTTTATAAAGGGATGGCCACAGTAGTCAGCACTTGACAAGGTCTGTTTTCTCCTTTCAAGGTTGTTATAACTAATGATTACCAAACCATATTGTGTGCTTGTGTCATTATTTATTTAGGATAACTTAACTTTGTTTCCACCCAAATCTTGTTACGTCCAGATGCTGTCACGCAAGAGCTCAAACCAGGAAACAAGCTGAGCAGTGATCTCTCAGAGTATGTGATAGTCCTACCTGGTGAGTGTGTTACTTTTTGTCTTCCAATTCTTTTCTACTGAATGTGAGTACGCACAAACTTTCACATGAGTTGTAGAAGCATCTAGAATGGCAAGTTCTTGATAAAGTGAAAATGTTCACAGTGAGCATGTAATGGGCCCAGTGAAAGGTAAGTACATTTATGTTACTATTAATTTCTCTGTTCTGGTAATAACTATTTTGCAGTGGAGAATTAGATTCCTACTTTTATTAAAACTAAAACTAATTCATAACTCTTCCACCAAATCAATTGAAACAATAGGTTTTTTGCACTAGTGAATCCACTTGGAGAGACCACGTAAAACTAGAGTACTTGCTGAAGAGCAGGTGGTACCTTAGCAACATTGCCGGAGTTGAAGTGTGAAGAACAGCAAAAGTAAACCTGTTCCTAAAGTACATATGAAGTTCCCAGTTGGCAAACAATAGTCTAGAATTAATTTCTTGGATAGCTGAAGAAACTGATCTAACTGAAGTATCTCTGGGAGAGTTGCAAAGTACTAGTGTGATATTTTAAGGATGTAATTTTGCAGCATTTATGCTGTATTTTCTTCTAGCAGGAAACTTAAAGTACCATCTGTTACCTGTTCTTGTATCTGCACTCTTAGTACAGGGAGGCCCCAGGCATCAGTCTTGCTATTAGTTGATCTTTAACTCATCTGTTTCTATGTTTCGTTCATTCACATTTTAAAATTATTTCATAAGGGACAGATAGTGTTTTCAGCTTGTGTAACTAGGCTGACTGTGAAACCTCTGCTGCTGTGGAACCAATTCCAGTTGTAAAATTACAATCATAAACAACCTCAACAAGCTGAGTTATGCTTGGCTCATATTTATTCAGCCTAATTGCCCTAATAAATGAGTTTCAGTGATTGATGTTGCTCTGCAATGGAAGACTGAGGTGTTGCATTTCTAAGTTTATCTCCAGTTCAACAGATTTGAATTATTTTGGCTGGGACTTGCAGTTCTGAATATGCTGTTCTTTAGGTTGTACATGTCTCTGCCAGACCTATTAAGGTTCACTCACTCTGGATCTCGTGCTATCATTCCAGTGAGACTTTGCTGCTGCATATGTATGACTTTCTTTACTAGGTCAGTGAGCTGTACCTTAAAACTTCATTTTCTCCTGGAAGGAATGTGAGCTGTGCAATGCACCTATAGTTTTTTGACCACTGAATACTACAGGGTATGTCTAGAATTGAAGTGAGGCATGCATACGTTTTCTTGGAGTATTTAGATGACAAACCACACTTCTATCCAGAAGGCATGAATGAAAAGGCCAGTTATGAAAAAGAAAGGCAGTACTAATGGGTAAAACATCCAAAGTGTTCTCTTATAGGAGGCTGTTTCTATGGATCAGAGAAATATTTGCTGTTGATAGTTTATTTTATGCTTATGAACCTATACTCATAAAAAGCAAAAAACTGACAGATTTTTCTATTGTACTGTAATATTTTCCTACTGTGATTCCACTCGCTTGCCAGGAAGGCAAAGGTGGCCCTAAATGGGTTTGAAGAGGATTTGATGTCAGCTTGGGTAACTATAGGCATGAAAGGCCTGATCCAACTGCATTAAGGTTGCAGATTTTATCAATAGCTTCCCCAGCAATAGGATATACCTGTGATCTCACAGTATCATAAAAATCTGCAACTGGCTAAGATCCAAATAGTTACAGATACTTATGTCTTACTCTTCTTGACATTAATATAATTTTTTATATATATATTAAATACTTAATATTTTTGGTTTGGATTAAATAATGTAAAAGCTTAAGTCTATCTTGCTCTCAGTGAAATGAGTACTTATGCTTCTATATTAGAGCCCTCTAGGAAGTTTACCTACAAATTTAGAGTGTGTTATTTTGTAAAGGGATATGTATTTTAACTCAGTTATTAGTTATAAAAATTGCTGTGAAACTCTGATTTTGCAGGGGCTTTTTTGCCCTGGAGAGTATAAAGAGCACCTGTGTCCACCTCTAATCCTGCATATGTAAATGCAGTCTCTAAAGTTCCTTTACCTAGAATGAGGAAATGTATTTTTTCAGTAATTGTTTTTAAACTTCTTATAGGTACATCTGAAAAAAATATCTCTTTGGCCAGTCCAACTCAAGTTGATCTTACATGCAAATTAGAGGAGAATTCCAATTTGAAAAATCCTGAAGTGACATGGAAAAAGGGAAGTGAAACAATCAGTCACACCAGTAAAACTCCGAACAGCTGGACCATCCAGTAAGTACCGTTCTTTACATTGTGATTTGCAGATTCTAATGAGTTACCATCTTATCTACAGTGCCCAATACTAGTAACATGTGTATTAGGAAAGGGAAAAATGCAGAGGTCAATCAGAAATGCAGAGAATGATCTCCTGTCAGAAAGGAGAAGGACTGCAGGCACCTCAAGCCTGGAAGATGAGCTCCTATTTTTCTTCTAGTGCACATCATTTGTTTTTAAAAAAGAACATAGAATAATGAAGCAGTTCCTTAAAGTCTAGTAAGTCTGTTCAGTAAGTGAAATAATCAGTCTGAGATCAAAATATTTTAGCAATTTCTCTTTCCTCTCCCTCATTTTCCACATGCTCTTTTCCCACGTCATTGCTACTTTGCAAGAGTCTGGGAGGCATCAGTGGTCATTTTCTTTCCTTCATAGGTAACAAGAGGTAGAAGTGAGATTTCCAGTAAAGATATTTTTAAGGTTTCCTTAAGTCGTTCAGACCTCTACAGAAACTCAAAAATATGTTGTTGTTCCTTAAGTCGTTCACACCTCTACAGAAACTCAGAAATATAGAAGCCTTTCTATAATCAATACAATTTATTGTTCTTTAGAATTAGTCCAATTACACGTTTTAACTGACTGGTCTCCATTTGATTTCTGTATAGATTTAAGAGCAGTAATACTTAAATAAAATTTATTTTAATCTATTATTGTCTATTAGTTATCTATTATAATCTATTATCTATCTTCATCTATTGTTATCGATTTATTCTTTTTCTGTAGAAAATATGATAATATAACTGTCACTTTCTTAATAGTCCATATACACAGACACATAAATCTTTTTCAAAGCGACAGTAAAATGTATAGTTTGCCAGTGGAGAAGATGCTAGACTTCATTAGATGAAAGCTCTTTAAACCTATTTATTTAGTGTTGAAAAGATTGCTTAAATGGTTTGTTCTTCCTGAAGCCCACATAGACATGGGTTCACCATGTGAACTAAGAAGCATATCCTAACTCAGTAATTTGTAGATAATGCTGCTTAAAGGTGTCCTTCTGTCAGCATGAAGGGTGAAAATGTTGTTTATGATCCAAAGTGTGCTTGTGCTCTTCTATTCTCTTAAAAACATCTTGGTACTATCTTCTCTGCTCCATTACTAATTCTTACTGTTTTCTCTGGAATGCTAATTAGCAGTCACTTGTAGTGCAACAAAAATTTGTGTGTTTTTTTTTTGTTGTTGTTGTTGTTAAGAGTGACCATCTCAGGGAGCAGCGAGCTGGGAAGTTACACCTGTTTTCTGAAGGCTGAAAAAGAAATCAGTGCTACGTTTCATTTGCATGGTAATTTAATTGATTTGTGTTTATTTAACATTTTTGTTCAGCTGACTACTGCAAAGCTGTATTAATATTCTTTCTGGACAGTATGGAAATTGCAACATAATTTGATAAGTAATGGCTAATACATTGAGGCTAAGTGAGAATAACTATTGAAGTAATTTCTCTAGCATGGATTGAAGAATTTTGAGCCGAAAACTAAAAGCCTTTAAAATTCTAATAACCCAAAGAGCATACAAGTCTATTTTTTACCCTTCTTGACTAACGGGTTTCCCCTTCCCTCTCCAGATGTGAATGCACTTCACTTTCTGGGGCATGAGATTACAGGATGGTGTCTCAGATAAATTTCTTCAAAAAGAGCCAATAATTTGAAATTTGAGTCTGAGGTTAGGTGTTAAAAGTGAAGCAGTGATTGGTAAAATGGAGGCAGGATTTTTAAAATTTTATTTGTATTTCTGAAACACTACATTATTGCTTTAGGGCTTTTATTCTGTAATACTATAAGAATAGTACTTAGATGAACAATAAGTGTACTTCGTTGAGCAGTATGAGTGCCCTTCTTTCTGTTTTTTTTTTTCTCCAATAATGTTACCCTGGAACTAGTAGGTGAAATTCAGATGCATGAAGATATGTGGAAATGATAATACAAGCTGCTGAACTTATGAATATCTCTAATGGGAGTTAATACTTTCTCTATTCCTACCATCCATATTTTGCAAAGAGCAAGGCAAGCATCTGTAAAGGTGGATATAGAGACGTTTTCCATAAACAGGCTCTGAGAAAACCTAACTATTTAAATCATTGCCTAACCTTAGCTAAATTAAGCAGTGGGTCTCCCTAATTATGAAGCTGCAAGCTGCCTTTGTTCAGTGGGATATCCAGTAATAGGACTTGAGGAAACTCACGTGGGTTCAAATATCAGACATTGATACCTGCTTTCAGACCTTCAGCCAGGAGAGACTATATTGCAGTGCTGAATAAGGACAAGGTTGTAGTTTATTCAGGCCTTTTAATCTCTAAAAAATAATTATGTGTTTTTCTTGTCAGCATGTGGGTAAGGTTTAGTCAAATAGCTAACCAAGTCAATGTAGATGGAAAAAAGTCAAAGGAGAATTTTTTACAGAAATTTTTTTTAAAGTACACGATAGCTATTACAGTAAGGGCAGCAATGACTCAATCGGAAAGTCATCTTTTCCAGAACAGTGCATAGGACTGGTTGATTTATTATAAGAAGACGAGAGAATTGCTGCCTGATGGTTGAATGCTGCCACTTCTGATGCCATAAAACGTACTGGCCTAATGCTTTCAAGATCAAGGCAAGAGTGAAGGAAATGGGAAAGAGAAGTCCTTGAATCTTCCAGTCAATAATGCAGGGAGAACAATTTTCAAACTGAAAGATGAGTAATGTGTTGGTATAGACTCAGTGGCTTAAGTCATCACTGCTGTAACTAACTGCAGTATCTTTTCCACAAGGCAGTCAGGGATTTGCATGTGTTACCTCTCCTTCCCCCCCGATTCCTGGCCTGGCATAACCCCTCAGATTTTGAGGAGTTTTTTTACTCAGGTTTGCAGAAAACAATGAGATATTTACAGAAAGTTCAAGTTAATGAACACAGAGGATATTAATGGGTATTACAAAATATTGTGAGGTACTGCTAGCATCTAAAGGGTAGAATAGATTAAATTATTTGCCATTTGTTGATCCTTAAAGCAGCACTTGAGGTATGGGCACCATGAAATAGCTCTGTTTTTTAACACTGTGTGGATATCTGACTTGTGTACGTGCTGGTGCTGACACCTGTATGTTTGTTTCTTCAAAAGTTGGCTTTGTGTGTGCAGCAGAAGTATTTTGTCATGAAATTTGGTGTGTAAACCACTTGCAAAAATACCTGTCACAAGCCTTGCATGCATTCAGGGATTAGCTGTTACAGAGCCAGATCTCAGAATTTGAAATGTATAGTCATATCCTTAATCATGGCTAATGTGGTCACATATGTTGCTGGCATGCTTACAGCTGACCTTGGTCACTCACCAGTGTGGCTAAATCTCTTTGACTGCCACGTAAGGTTGTTGTGCTGGCTATACAGGGTTTTTTTATCCTGACCTTCTACTCTAAATTGGAAGGGAGATTGCAGCAGTAATTAGTGAGGTCATCCCTTTTAATGGCAGCAGAGAAGATACACTGCCAGTACTCTTTAAAATTAGAGTGTTTAATGATTAAAATATACACATTGAGAGAACTTCACTAGTCAAGAGTCTTGATGTATGATGCAGCAAATTCTGAGACTGAAAACAGTGTTCTTATTAACAAATTGGTTTCATAGCTATTTCTGTATAGGAAACATAAGTTTGAATACACATGAGAAGCAGACTTCTTTGGGAAAAAATAATTTGTGTTCACCAGTCAAGAAGGGGTGAGGACGAGAAAAATCTTAGCTTGTATCAAATTGTTCATCATAACTGCCGAAAGCTAATACTTGGCCTTTTTAGTCTAGTGTGATCCATAAATCTGAAGTATGTACTGGATCTGTACTTAAAAAGTACAGGAAAAGAAACTTGAAGTAAAATTTCAAATGAGTGGATCTGTGGAAGGCCTGTTGGTAAACGTCCTAATGAAGAGGGGAAGGAAGTGGAAATAGATACTTCAGTATAATGCATTTGCTAAGCTCTTAACAGTATCTGTAGGAAGTCTTAATATATTCAGTAGCCTTTCTGGGCACATGTTTTTGGAAGTTTGTGGGGCACAAGCAGTGACAATGGCTAGGACAAGTAGCTCTAAAGTTAGACTGATGTCTTGTTTCTTGTTGACTGTATTTTGTCCTCAGTAAGATTGGACCAAAAGTCCTTTTTATTGGCATGCACCCAAAAGTCATTGCTTCAGCTCAGAAAATATTTAACTACAAATCTCTATAAATCTGCATTTTTTTTCTCAGTTACAGAAACATTCTCTGTATGTACAACTTGTCAGATACCATTATGTAGTCTAATTGTGGCTGAAATAGACTTCTAGCAGTTTCTGCAGAAAGAGTGAAATTGCAGGAAAATTATACATTTGTTTCTAGTGTACTAGAACTGAAGCATGTTGCTTGCAGCTGCCAAGGAAGGGAAGGAGGAAATGCGCAAGAGTAGAAATCACAGTCTTATTTCTTTTTTCACTTGACGTTTGGTATTAATTGGCAACTTCACAAGATCACACAGCAACTGAAAACAGGATTCTACTTGTCTTCTGCACAGATGACATATCTGCCCAAAATAACTTCTCATGTCATAAATGATAGAATCATGAGGGCTTTAAGTAGAAAAAGTGAATGGAGTACTATAAATGAATACCTAAATATATTCTTTGTAATACTAATGAAAATCTGTATCTCTCACTTGGATTTTTTTTTTCTCCTTATTCTTAGTACCACCCATTGATGGAAGAGAAAAACCCATAATCACTTATATAGGAGATACAGGCGTAATGGTTTGTAAAACTGAGTATCATGCCAAGGGTTGGAGCTGGTATATGACCAATGGAACCGAGCTGGTAAGATCTCCCTCTGTTGGGCAAGCAAAACAAAAAAAAATGTACAGCTACTTCATGCTTCACTGCAAGCTCTAAAAATTCCATTTCCATTAACTTTAGCAGAAATCTTTATGGAAAAGGAAAAAAAAAAATCTGTAATATTTGCAAGTATTCATTGTTACAGAGATGTGGTTTTTTGATCTGGTTTGTATGTTTCTTTTTGAAAAAGGCCCTGCCATACTCCCAAATAAGGTGAGTCTTGAGAGACTTGTTTTTACTGTATTTCTACTAGTTGTACTACTCAAATCTTGCTACTAGATCCAAAAATAATCTTACGGCAGGACATGTAAGATGTTGTAGGACCCTTTACTTCCTCCACGTACAAGTAATTCTATTTCTTCACCTTATGACCTATCTAGAAAGCACAGCTTCCTAAAACACTTTCTTTTAGCCTTCTTCTGAGGCCAGCACTGTCAGCTGAGAGAAGGTGAAGAGATCTGTCTCCTTAATTTGGCTGGAGACTAGCACTGACCTTTTTAAGAGTATCAGTATATTTCCTGGTGAAGGAGAGCTCTCTCTTCCTGAAAGTGCATGTTTTGTGCTGTGGTGAAACCCATGCATTAGATCTGGCAGCCAAGGATGCCTTTGTCATTGGAGAGTCAATAGAGCCAAAGGTGCCTTTTATCTCATCTTAAATAAACTAAAACAGGTCAGACAGTTTCCCCACTGAAACTTTGGATTTTCTTCCAGTGAGTTTAGAAGGAATTAAGGGTGTCCAGCTAAAATAAACCCTTCCCTTTAATGTGGGGTAATTGTGCTTCATTAATGCCTTTTGTTCCTAACTCATTGCATGTATCTATACAGAACTGAATGTTGATGATACTGTTTGATTAAATACCTCCTCATTACATTATTAAGACTTGCAATGTATTTTTTTAGGTTCCTGTGGATAAGATTTTGCCTGCGGACAAGTATGAAATTCTGACCCCATCTGGCAGTACAAGCCGTTTGGAGATACACAGGCTCACTGCGGCAGATTCTGGCGTATATTGGTGTGAAGCTGCTTTTGAATTAGGGCCCAGTAAAGCGAGGTTTAAAGTTAAAGTTCTGTCCATCGCAGAACCTCTCAAACCCTTTATAGCAGTTGTGGCTGAAGTTGCTATTCTTGTAACTACCATTGGCCTCTACGAGGTGTATTCAAAAAAGAAGGCAAAAGGTAAGTTTTGGTGGGGGAGTTTTTGGTTGGTCGGTTTGGGTTTTTTAAATTAATTTCTAGCTTTCTGTTGAAATTACAGCCAAAGGTAGAAAAGTAAGACCTATAGTGCAGGATATATGAAGTTAAGTCATTTTCACATCTGTATTGCTGAAAATGCTTTCATCTAAAACACTGCAATTAAAAGAGCTTTCACTAACCAATACTTATCCATAACAGTTTTGATAGTCCTGGGGGTTTTTTTCCCTTACAATACAAGAGAATTTTGAGGCTGTAATTTTTGGGAGAATGCTTAGAAATGTAATCAATTCTTGGTAGCCTTGATAGAAGTTGCTTTAAAGACATTTAGTAAGAAGGAGAAATGCATCTGTCTAATAATACAGACATAAATGCATGTTACCTATATTTTGAAATGCAGAAATGTATAAACCTATATATATAAAAGATGATTTGTTTTAAAATCAGACTAATAGAACCTTATCAGAATAAGCTTTTTCACTACCTTGGAGGTGATTCCCTTGAATAGATAATCAAGGTAATTTGAAATAAATATTTAAGAAAACTAACAAAATAAAAAAATAACATCTTGTTCTGATTAAACAGTTACTAAATGTACTAAACAAGAAGTTTTTTATTGTTTATTAAATGGATACTTCTATATAGTGCTTCTTTTGTTCTGCAGGAGGTGAAAAAGAGTTTGACCAAATTGAGCAACTGTAAGCAAAAAAGTTCCTATACTATAGTTCAATATTTATTCTTATGTGTATTTGTGTTGTACAAAATTATACGTTGTTGTTGATCCCATTGGCAAGGGGCGGTGGTGGTCAATGTGAAAGAACGATTTATTCTTTTCCTTAAGAATTCCTAATTCCAGAGTGAGCAGAACACTTATTTTCTACCTGGAAGTTGATTCTGAAATTACTTTTTTTTGGGTGGTGTTTTTTTTGTTAGTTTGTTTTGTGTTGGTTTTGGATTTTTGTTGTTTCTTTTTGTGAGAGCACTATGTTGTCCTCATTATAAGCTCATTCTAGAAGACTATAACTGCAAGGAAATAATTTCCAGGTGAAAGTGTATCAGAAGTGGCCCTGGTTTTGGTGGATTTTTTGGTTTTTTTTTGTTGTTGTTGTTTTGTTTTTTGTTTGGGCAGTTTTTTTCCTCCCCAAAGTAGCGTATTTGTCCATGTTAACATACATTTTTCTACTTTGCACGTGGTCAAAGCACTGATTCTCATATCTAAGCCTGTAGTTGCTGGCATCTTGGGAGCTGGCATGTTTGGCTGTTTTGGGGGCTAATTCCAACCTCTCAGGTGATTCACACTGTGGTGGGAGTTTGGGCTTCCTGGGCTGCGCTGCTGCAGGTGTAGGCACTTCTGCTGCAGTTCTGCAGTTCCAGGGTCTGTGCTCCCATGCTGGCTCCCCTGTCCTTAGGATTATGTATTTCTTGGGGCTTGCTTGCTTAAGTACGCTATACTTGTCTCTCTGCCTGTCCCCTGAAGCCTGGTTCCCTTATTTAACCTATTTACCTCTTAAAAGAGGAAAGTTGCCCAACAGGTCATTTTAGATGTGTCCAGTCTACTCTAGTTTTTGTCATCTTGCTCCCTTTTCTCCATCTGTGTTTGTCTCCCCTTTTCTTCTGACCCTTTCATCTCTTTCCTGCTTTGATTTTTTTTTTTTCTGCAACAGTCTTTGTTTTTCTGTGTTGTATTCACTTTCTCATTCCTTTTTTAAGTGCTGAAAATATATTTTGGTTATTTTCCACTCATCTGAACAGACTTAAAGCTCTAATTAAATTACAATATAAAGTGGGAGTATGTCTTGGGAATATAGTGAATATAGTATTATATTATACTGCTGAATGTTTGGGGATATGTCTTGAGTTGAAAATTGAAAAATTGTCTTTATTGCACAGCCTGCTTCTCATAAACATGCTGAAAATACTAGGATGGTAACACAGAATAGTTCACTAAAATAATGTTTTTTCAATGTGGGATGTAGTTCTCTACAGCTGCTTAATCTTTATTGTGTAATTCTTATATAAACACATATGAGGAAAATTTATTTAACTATGTACTTCCCTGACTCAAGAACTGAAAGCTATTTCAACTCTGGCTGTTTAGAAGATGGATTTGTGTACCAGAGAGTGGCTCCAAAGGAACACGTCTGGTCTGTTTTGTCAGGGGATGACTAATACAGCTGTATTTGGTTGATGAGGCTATAATTAAATGTCACATCCAGCAGTGTATTTAAGTGGGAGCCTAGTGAATCACAAACTTTTTTTTAGCAAGAGAACTTTTAATTCAAGTCTCTTTTGTGATGCACAGCATAATAGCTAGTTGCAGTTGTTCTAGAAGGAGACTGGGAATGATTGTGCTGTCTTACTGTTCACTTTTGGAATTCACCCTTTTTTCTTGTAGTAAATCAGAAGACAACGTAAGTGAGAAAGGCAAGTAGTTCTGTGCAGAGAGGGAAGGTTCCTTTAAAGGTAAGTAAGAGATGAGAGACCAGAGTTTACTTTTCTCTTGAGCAGCCTAATTCTAGGACAAAGAAGTCCACTTTGCCATCCCAGTCCTTTTTTTTAATGCGGGAGCAGCATAGTAATTAAATCATTGCTTAGGCGAAGTAAGAAACAGTTGAATAAGAAATAAGTCCAAATCATTTTAACTCAATTGTGTTGTCATTGTCATTGTGATTTACTAGCTCTGTTAGCCCATGCAGTCTTTAAAATGGGATGCAGGTTAACCTGCTTGACCTGATCATGAATGCCAGGGTAGGTGCTGAAATGCCTAAGAGGTACTGCTGTATTCAAAATCCCACTTTTCCAGCTGTATTTTGGGTGTTGAGCGAGTTTATGAAGGAAGGGTCCTCTGTAATAGCGCGTGCCAAATATGAAAGTTCTGGAGAGATCTAGAGGAGTCTGGGAAGGAAGACTTGGCTTAATAGATAGTGATTGAAAGGACTAGTTGTAGAATAAGGAACCAGCCTGTGAGTTGTAGTACAACTACAAGCTGTAGTTGCAGAATAAGGAGCCAGCCTGTGAGTACATTGCATCATGCGCACTCGACAAACCCTCATTGCTGGCAGTAGGTGCAACCCCAGGACAGGATTGGCCATGAGTGTGGCAGTAAATAAAACAGGGACAAGTACGACTAGAGTGCTCAAAAATCAAAGTTTAATAAAGGAAAAATAAAAGGCCTGCTAACAATAAATGCACAGCAAAAACATAAGCTGTGCGCTGTAGGGAGCTACTTCAGAAGACCATAAAATGAGGCAAGCACAAATATAGAGGGCAGGGAACCAATGAATAAAGATAAACAGAAACCATACCTTATATAGAACACAAGACTAACCAATCAGAAAGCAAGCTTCATAATATAACCTTATATGGAATAACTTAATCTGCATAACTGCTCCCATCATTCCTTTCTTCTCACCCTAACTTGGGGGGGATTCCCAGAGCCTATGATGTACTCTTCTAGGGCACACCCTGGTAGGCTCACAGGCCTCCAATGTGTAGTGCTATGAAGCTATATAATGAATTTCCTGATTCTCTGCCCTCTTCACAGTCTGATCATAGGCTGTTTCTACTTCCACCATCTGGAAGTGCTTGTCCGAGCAGTCTGTCAGTTGAGGACCAGTCCTACACACACTTGTTTCTCTTCTGTATCTGTCACCTCAACCTCTGATCTGTAGAAGAGATATGTGAATGACTTTGCATTCATGTGGCTGCTGGTTCATCCTTACCAGAAGCCATCTACCTGAGTAAAGATTGTTGCCCTACCAAAGAACAGAAGGAAACATGTCAGGTAGAGTTCACATAAAGAGAGTTGCAGCTCAGAAAATTATCCAGAACAAATGATTTCCAAGATTATATGGTCTCTGTTCCTCTTAGGTTTAATCCCTGCTAGCAGTTTAACCCCATGCAGCCACTTGCCTTTACTCTCTGGTGGGATGGGGGAAGACTCAGATGAGTAAAAATGGATGAGCTTAGGGGCTGCGATACAGACATCTTGACAGAAGAAAACAAAAGCTGAACACAGAAACAAAAGAAAGAGTGAATGAATTCTTTCTCATGGGCAAGCAGGTGTTCATCTGTCTCCAGGAAAGAAGGGCTTCATCATGTTTGAGCATGTGTAATAGCTGCTTGGGTTAATCAGGAAAACTAGTGCTGTGGCTCAGAATGTGTGTCCCTTCCCCATTTCTCTCTCTTCCCCCAGCTTTACCTGCTGAGCATGATGCCTTATGGCATGGAGAATCCCTGTGGTCAGCTGGGGGCAGGTGCTCTGGCTGTGTCACTTCCCAACTCCTTGTATTCCCCAGCCTCCTTGCTGGTGAGGGAGAGGACAAGGCCTTGTGATGGTGTAAGCACCTAAGAGCAATACCTAAAACATAACTCTGCTATCAGCGCTGTTTCCAACACAAATCCAAACCTAGCCCTATAGCATGTGCTGTGAAAAAAATTATTCCAGTCAAAACCAGCACACAAGAATTTCTCTTATGTTGGAATTTGAGGTTCTATTCTTACAAAGTTCTTTTGACACATAGCAGTGAGTCAATAAATAAGGGTTCTTCTCTGAGAATCACCTGCTTTGTCTTCATATACAGTGTCAAAAGTTTTAATGTCTTTAAATGATAAATTCCAGTTGCTCTCTATAACTCCTTGAAAATAGGTTGTAGCAAGGTGGGGATGACTCTGTTTGTTCAAGTAACAAGTGGTGGTACAGAAGGAAATACCAAGTTGTATCAGGGGAGGTTTAGTTTGGTATTAGGAAAGCTTTATTCACTGACAGGGTGGTCAGGCACGGGAACAGGTTGCCCAGGGAAGTGATGGAATCCTCAACCATGCTCAGAAGGTGTGTGGATGTGGCACTTAGGTTTCTGGATTTCTGCTAGATATGGTGGTGCTGACTTAATGGTTGGACTTGATGTCATAGAGGTCTTTTCTAACCTAAACAATTCTGCAGTGGTCCATTGGACCATTGGAAAAAAATGGATGTATTGATTAGAATTAAGTTTATTTTCAGACAATATGGGAAAATGCTAAGCAGCAAAATAACAGAATTTCTATTATAATTAAATGTGTTTATTCTTATTTATTGCAGGAGATTTAAGCCAATAGAAGTGGAAATCATCACAAAGCTACAGAAGATGTATGCAGCTACTTAAACATTCACTATATTTTGAAGTAAAATCCTCTACATTTGAGAAACAAGATATTTTTAAAATAGCTCTGAAATTACTCATTTTATACTGATGATAATATGATATATTGTATTTAGATGTTTTGCTGTAAAATTTTACTACTAGCAGGGCGTTTTTTATGTGATTAGGCTTGCTGTTGGTTTACGATTGATCTGTTTGATTTTTATCTCCCAAATTGGAGCTAGTATTGTATTCACTGAAAAAATGGTTAATATAGAGTGGGCATATTATCTGAATGTTATAAAAGTGGATATGTACAATCAAAAAAGTATTTCCACCAAAGAAAATGCCTTTTACTAGCTGATGAAGCAAATGTGATGCAGCTGTTTTTACCAAAGAAATGGTGAAAGGGGAATCTTTATCAGGACTTAAATGAAACATTGAGAGAGTTGCAATTTACTCTGAACAGTAAAATGTCTTCGTTCTACTGTATTGTAGTCCTCAATAGGCTAAACATTTAGATACCATACAGCTCAGATATTTCAGACTTGATGAAAGAAATATTGGGGATACAGTACCTTCTCAGACTAAAACTGCAATAATTCTTTATGCTTGAAAAACTTACTGCACTCTCTGGGGCTGCAAAATCAGTTTGGTTATTATAATTTATATGGAGTGCTGAATTTTCAGGAATATACCTATATAAGCTATTGATCATACACTGTCTCACTGTCTGTTGGTACTTCTGCTTCTTTCAGCAAGCTGTTGTTTCTTACATTCCTTGCAAAGCACAGAGTGGGTCTTGAGCAGATAAAATTTTCAGGATAATAGGATGAAGCAGCATGAATACATACCATTACTACTTTTACACAAAAAAAATAACACTGCTGTTAATGACTTACAGTATCACTTTAGAGGAGTGTGTTGCCATAATACTGTTTAGTTACATTATGCATTCAGCAATTGAAAATGTTTAGCTAATAAGAAGGCAGTTGGTTGCATCAGTTGTCTTTGCTTGAAATAATTAAAGCTTCAATTCTGAGAAGAAGTCTTCAGAAAAATATCATTTCTCCATAAAAATGTAAGGAAAAAGGCAGCACTTGCAGACTCCATAATAAAGAAGAAAAAAAAAGAAAGAAGAAAAAGAAAGAAGAAAAAAAAATACACAGAACTTCTTTGTACTGGTCATTTTTCTTTGAACATAAAGGATGGTAGAAAAAAATAGATAAACCAAATTTAATTTCCTTCAATGATTTTTTCCTATTTTACCATTCTTAGGGGTTTGAAAAATACCAGAAATCCTAGCATTGGCTGTTTTGTTGGAAATAGGAGATAAAATCCAGTCTGACATACACATTTTTGGTTTCATAATTTATTTTCCAGTTTCAAGAAGTACAAGTTAAGGTCCAAATACAACACAATGAGAATTATAAAAGCATTGGGTGATTGACTGTAAGGAGTGGACACTGATAAAGATTCCCCTTACTTAGATACTGTGTTTATTGTATTTTGCCTTGGAGTTTTTATTCACTATTAGAACCAGAATGTATCTACAGTTTTTTATATGAATTTCTCATTGATATAATTGATATTTTTATTGCAGCAAGTAAATGTGGGCAGTTTTAAAATGTTTACTTCTGGTAAACATTTGTAAATTTTTTTGCACATTTCAGAGTTTGTAGTAATTTGTTTCCTGTAGGCAGTTAAATAGTAAAAAAGATAGTCTTACTTTAGAGAGCTAAGAATTACATTCTGAATAAAGTAGTATTAGTATATTTTGCAATGGAATGAGGCTAGATACTGTCTGGAAAAAAAAAAAACCTGCCAGTTAATCAAAAAATGTCAATCTTTCTGCCTTCATGTAGCATTCCTACCTGATCTTGCAGTTGGGCTGTAAAGTCTTGGCTAACATAGGCAAGTAATACAGAAAGATAATTTTTTGGCATTAGCAGGGAAAACCTAGATTAAGCATGGATTTTAGAAGGAGCACATCTTAGATCTTTTAGGACTATATAAGCTTGGTCAGACTGGCTGTTGAAACTATGGCTTTGCCTGGACCTGCCTCTAGCATGTTCTCCTTGCTTTTTCTAAGGAGTTTGGTGTTTATTTTTAGGTTGGTGAGTAGTTTTTCATCATAAGAGGTTTTACTCTATGCATGTTCTCTTAGGTTTAAATCCTTTTGGGCTGCCCTATGGAGGGAAAGAACAAATAATATTAAATGGTAAATATTAAGTAATTGGCATAATTAATGGTCAACTTCAATGGCATAACCTCTGCTTTCTTGCTCCAGTTGCCACAAGAAGCTCTGGAAATCTTGAAATTTATCTTTTGAGAAGTATGTGTTGCGTATGTTCAAAACATTCCCACTGTAGTTCTTTATGATCTTAGCATTGAATGGAACAAAACTTCATAACTTTAAAAAACCTTAAAACACTAGGCAGTGATTTTTTTTTTTTTTTTTTTTTTTTTTTTTTTACTTCATTCAAGCCAGGAGGTACCAAATAAGATCCAAAACAATTGTGAAAACTCTTTCAAACAGCAGTTGGAGCTAAGTGTAAGCTAAGGATCCACAAAATTAGTTTTAATAACAAAACATAAAACATTAACAACAGGCTTACATTGGTAGACTGAATCTTAACTACAACTGTTAGGCAAATTTTGTCTTCCAAGATTAAAACATTTTCTTGCAAGAGGAGATATTTTACTGGATTTTAGACCAGCAAAAACCTTACCAGTTTCAGAGTGGAAAAGGTTGAAATCTGCAAAAGAATCCTGAAGGCCTGTTTCCTAACACTTCAAGCTGCTACACTGCAAATTCTTCCTGCCCTTAAGTCCAAAGTAGACACAAATAGCTGTGAGACCAAATTCCTAGTGAAGATGGGGGTTCAAATAGAACTGCATTAATATTTCTTTGGTATGGAGACCTAAGCATTACCCTGCAGTTGTTCAGCAAAATTGATTAGCTGTGGTTCCTTCAACTCTCATCATCCTGGGGAATAGAGGGACAGCTCATCAGTACTGATGTTGCTACTAGAATCAGCATCTCTATGCCTCTAACTCTTTTTCAGCCAGAAAAAGTTAGATTTATATTCTGCCTTTTAATTGTGCCTCAGAACCTTTGAATAGTTGACTGCTGAGCAATGAAAATTGAAAAGAAACTGATTGGCACGTTAAGGGCAGGGGAGGTTTTTGAGATGCATGGCATCCTAAGTGTTGAGCTACCCAGCACGTGTTGTCTGACCACAGTTAGCTGCATGATGATTCAGTTCTAGCTGGAAGCTACCCTGAAACAGGAAGGTGTGGATAGTGAGGAAGCAACCAGATGAGGACATTGGAGGGACTTGGGAAGGAACGGCATTTTGGTGGTGTGTAAGGTCCTGAGGGACAGACAGCAGAAGCTGAGATGACTTACAATTAGACATGTACAGGGAAGACTGAATGCAAATCTGTAGGAGAAAACACATTTTCAGTTGTACCACTCAGACTGTGTAGGAAGTTCTGTACAGCAGCTGAAAACAATCTGCCATTGCTGAATGCTTGGACAGATGAAAGCACAAAGCTAAATGAGATATAAGAGAACTAGAAGTTACATGCTTAGAAAATACTTCTCTGCTAGTTTAACAGTTTTGTAGTCTTGTTTACTTCATTATGCTAGAATGTGCATAATTCTTTGTGAAAAAACAAACCACCAAGTTCCAGACTTAACAACTTCTAATGGAAGGTGTTGATTTGTCAAAATTTACTGTTGGCAATTGAGTTCACTTATCTAGTTGTATAATGTTCTGTCATACCCAAAATTCTGCCCAAAAACTTCCTTACAGAAACTTCATCTGCTTTGTTTTTGTGTTCAGCTTTATATTTAACCAAAGAGATTTTGTGGTTTTTTATTACTTATGATATTTCTATCAATTAATTTGCTGAATTATTTTCAGATAGATACTAAAAATTAACAGTGCCTTGAAGGAAGTTGTTTGTTTACCATGGTTAATTTTGTTTTTTTCTTCCACAATATGTTTGTTAAAAGTTTCCTCTGAAACTTGACAGCAAAATCTGTTTGTCTAGTAAAAGACTACTTAGCCTAATGCTTTTTTCACACTTGCCTTATTTTACATTCTGATTTTATATTCTGTGCTCACGACTGTTCCCTTGTATTGCTTAATGGTATATTATTATTACTTAATAGTAAGTATTCCATTACTTAAGCAAATGGAAATATCCATTTGTTTGTTTGATATATCTCACATAATGAGGATGGTAGTTATGAATAGTATGAATTGATATGTGTACTTAGAAATAATTTCAATAAATGCAACCATAAAGTGATTGTGATCTGATGCCTGGTGTCATAGAGAAACAAAATCAAACTCCCTCTTTTGTAAATTTTTTTAAAAAATTTACTTACTTCTCCATACCCTCAGATCTTTAGACCTAGACTGCACATTGGCTTGATTACCCAACTGTCTTTACTTAGATCTGTAACCTTCTAGATGGAAATTCCCAAAGATAAAATAAAATCCAAGTAATTCCTTTTTAAATGCGCACAGTGTATCTGGCCTAGATTCCTCCTAGATTGTAATTTGGACATACAGAATACATCTAGTGTTGCATCTAGTGTTTCACTGTTAATGGGAGGTGGTGCTAAAGGGTATCTTCCAGCAGAAAATAGCAGCCTAAATAGAATCTGGATTAAGCAGGGTGAGTATTACCCTGTATCAGTCCTATTTCTTTAATGAAGCACAATATATCAAAACACATTTACATGGTTTTTGTCTTCCCATGAAGATAAATCTCTGCACTCGGAAATTGAATTAAACTCTGTTTTTTTCCTTCCAGTTGTCAGTTGAAGGAAGACTTAAGGTCATTTCATAGGTTGTCGCCTTTTATGATCTCCAAGGCATACTATGACATTTTGTTAAGTACATGCACTGTTTGTGCTGTGTTAAGTAACACATCCTTGCTCATTGCTGTCTTCACCAGAAGAGCTCAAGTGAGATAAATAAATTGCACAGCGGGATGTGTATATTTGGTCACTCTTTTGGCAGCTGTTTTGAATGTTTGTGAGCTTGTTCCCCCAGCAGAGGACAGTTACCAGGCAGGATGACCTGTGGAAGAGGAGGGAGTACCATTACCTGCATTTCTGCCACTTGGAGTTTGCTGTACAGAAGGACGAGTCTGTACAAAAATAGGAAAGACTAAAGCTAACCCCTATGAATAAATGATCAAATCCTGAGCAGAGGTAGATATGCAGCCAAGAGCATTTGGTGGATAAGTTATTGCAATAGAGTAAAAGTGAATCTATGTGTTCGAAGTAACAAATACTTATTTTCTTTCTTAAAAATCTACTATTTAAAAAGCATCATGTAGAAAATGGCGAATAATAGCAGAGGGAGATGAAATTTGGAGTCCTTCCAAAAGAGGAGAATAAGGGAATTTGTATC